CTGGGAGTGCAGGACCCAGACAGTCCCAGACGTCTATCTAAGCACACTCAGTGTAGTGAGAGAACCCCTTTAGATCCCCACATCCATGCCCTGTTTGTTCCCACTCACCTCTGTGAGACCTCTGATGCCTAGACACCAGCAGGGTGATGTTTCACCCACTGGAGGAGTGTTTGGGAGGGACACAGATCTTTATATTGCTAATCCTTGAGAATCAGATAGACACACACTAATATCTTTAAGTCTCATTTTTTTGCTTAAACTAGAAAAAGCTTGATGTGCAGTGTTTCTTGCATTACTCTTCTCCCTTTTCACTGTGCCATTCGAAAGTGTTTTTCTTCTGTTGCATTTTCGTAACATTGTACATTATACCAGTGTTTTTGCGTTTTTTTTATCAATGCATCTATTTTTTGTAATTTTTTAATTTAAAAAGCCACGACTTAAAGTTTCTTACCAAGAAAGATCCACCAAATATATTTTTTAATGTTAAAAGCACAAAAATGTAAAATTATGCCATTTCACAAAAGAGACAATGATACAAATTTGGGTAGCAGAAATTTGTTTCTAATAACATCTTGATCTGAGAACACACGGGTCCCTGTACTTAACCATACTCAGCAGTAAAAAGATCCTTATGCACACATTCATGCATATTATAAAATCTCAGATAACAGCAATCAATTTTTTTTTTTGCATCATTGCAATTAACGTCTGTGTTTTTTAATGCAATGACACACTCCAGCCATATGTTCAGTGATCTACCTAAAATTGCATCTATTCTTGATCCTTCCTTTAAAAAATCAGAAATTCTGTGAGCATGCAAATATTGATTTAATTACTGAGGTTTAACTACTAGGGACAAGCTACCTCACTGTGAAGAGTATGTGGAGCAGAAGAGGTTTCAGGTTTGCAACAGCTGTTTAACTGTACAGTGATCAGCTTTCACAGCTGTATTGTGAAGCTATAAAACAGAGCAATTAATTACATTTAATTTTCTAAAAGAAAGTGTACTTGAAGTCAGAAACATCTATTAAGCAGGCAGATTTTGGACATGGGTTGGGGCTTCCAGCAACACTTACAAAACTTTTTTTTATTTGTTGTACTTCTTTTACTTCAACAACATGCCACATGCATTTTACAGGCTTTATTGGATTATTATAGGGTGAATGAACATGCAGGCGCAGAAGCAGCTCCCTCTTCAGGTATGCAACGGTGACACTTTTATAGCTTCTCATGTGTTCTCCCTGCCAGTGTAATCATAGACACACACTTCTGCAGACACACAACCATGCATTCACGGTCACAGCTATAAGGCCCCTTCCAGACCTCCCGGGTGATCTGCAGTGGAGCGTGTAGCCACCTGTCAATCACCAGATCTCAGCCGCCTTAAGAGAGACATTTCGTCTGGGACAACGGCAGCCTGTCCCTCCCCATACATTCAGCCTCCCCTGGCAACCCTCGCCGGATGACTGAGAGGCTTTGTCCCCTCACAACGGGAGTCCACCATTGAACCCAGGAGCCCATAGCAACCAGAATTAGAGGGTGCCAGAAAGAGGTCTTTGCTGTGAGACAGGGGTGAAAGCTCTGTTCTTGTCCCCACGTCTGGGATTCATATCACGGGCCTGAATGGTGTCCCCTCCTCCTTTTAAATGCTGGTGTAACGGAGCGTATGAAGGGGCTAGCGGTGAGCGGATAGGATCATGGTTAATCTGCTGTTCCTCTCCACTGTGGTCCGATAGGGACACTTAAGCAGCCTCTGTGGCGTGGGGAGGCCTGGAGAAACCTACAGTGGACAAAACTGGGAGGTTCAAGAGCAGGCTGCAAACACTAATGGGCATAGTCCAAAGACAATTATTTAGCATAATTTAAATAAACAACATTATAAGAAAACTCAATAACAAGTACATTTAAAGTCCAGTGTTCTTGCCTGTGTAAAAAAAATAAATTGTTTTTAAAAAGTATTATCAGGAAAATGTTTCCTCCTCAAGGAGCTGGTGAAAAAGTAGGAACTGGTCATATTTCCAAAACAAGATACCCTGTAATACATACATTGTTATAAAACAACAATAGTTTGTTTGTACTGATACATTTGTATGTAACTAATATTTTGCTTGTGAAGTACTTCATATCGCCCTGCCAAATACAATTGTGGCCAAATCTGGCCAAAATCTGTTCTCATAAGGGCCACATTTACCCTTGAGTAAAGACGTGAGCTTGATGAGAGCCTGGCAGCATCACTTCAGTCACAGGTCCACCTTACCTGGGCTTGCACAACATGTGCCACTAATATAACCAAGTGATAATTTCCAAAATCAGGAAGTGACTGAACTTTTTTTTTTTTTTGCAAGAAAAAATTACAAACTCATTCTGGAACATGCCACTCTCTCTCAAATGTAATGGAATAAAAAAATAGCTGAAAGTACCTCAAAGGAAAACATTGGATAGGAGTGATGGTGGGAAATATAGGACTCAATTAGTCCCAGGATTAGACATCACAAAGACAGTCCAGATCCTAATGGTCAGGAAAGTTTTGAAATGCCTGCTGTGAGATCACCTTTAGGGGACACTGAAACTGCAAACAGAATGTGAGCAGATTAGGCACAGAGAGAAAAGACTAAGGGCTTGAATAGTTTATGAACAGTTTTATGGACTCGTGGTTGCTTTCAAAAGGGCTTTTACAGCTCTCTCTATAAGAGAGTGAACATAGATTCCTGAATACTACTCTAACCACTGTAGGTGCTTGTAACTGTAAAGGGAATTCATTGCGGTTTTACTGCAGTGTGGATGGCGTGTATCTATATCTATAAAACAATCCCATGAACACACAGAAATAAAAAAAATACCATATTGTGCTGTTTGGTTTGAGGAGTGGCAAAAACAAATACAATCCCAATTTCAAAAAAGATGTTATGCTGTGTAAATAGTAAATGAAAACTAAATGCAATTATTTGCAAACCTCATATAACCATATTTTATTCATATTCATTAATATGGCCCGAGCTTCAGAAAAAAAACCCTGTTTCCACAAATTGTAAAACAATTTCTGAATAATTTTCCTCAGCGTAAAATTGTGGAGACTTTTAACATCTCATCATCTACAGTGCATAATATCAAAAGACTCAGAGAATCTGGGGAAATCTCTGTCCGCAAGGGGTCAAGGCCAAAAATCGGTATTAGATGCCTGTGAATTTCGGGCCCTCCGGCAGCATTGCATTAAAAACATACACGATTCTGTCATGGAAATCACTGTGTGGAGTCAGTCAGCAACATTTCCAGAAAGGTTTGTACGTGAACACAGCTCATTGTGCCATCCACAGATGCAAATTAAAGCCCCATCATGCAAAGAAGCCATACAGCATCTATTACAACAGCATAGCTTTGTAACAGAAGGTGCTGAACTAGCCTGCCTGCAGTTCAGACCTTTCACCAACTGAAAACATTTGGAATGTTTCATCAAGAAATGAAAAATACAACAAAAAGGGTTTAGGGTTGCAGAACTAAAAGCTAAATGTCCACAATCAGGTGCACCAACACGACCTCCCACGTTGTGTTTTAGTAACGTAGTGTTCTGTACATTTTAGGAGATTACAAACTAATCTCAACCAACAAACAACATTGCTGGCATGCAGAGAAAACATGCTTTGCCTGGTATGTTCTTTATCATTAATGAGCATCTCCACAGCCCCCTATATGGGAGTACGTTTTGTGCAGCTCTCATTCTAAGCTCCTTCTGTTCCCACCCTCTCCTTCCTTCGACCTGTCAATCAGAGATCATGATTGAGCCTGGATGGCAGGCAGTGGGTCATCAGCAATGAAAGTGAGGCCTCATTCTCTGTCCATGCCTCCCTCTTTCATGCCCCCCAAAGGTTTTCCCCAACTCACCTTCTCACTTTGCTCTCAGGAATGAACATATGGCCAGCGTCCATCCGAAGGACCTTCTTTAAATGCTGAATTTGGGAAGCCCCTAAGGTCCGGCTGCCTTAACCTCAGAGGGGACGGCATGGCATCATTTAAAAGTAAGCCTGATTTAGTTTTAACAGGCCTCTGCATTTGCCCTTTAAGTGGCTGATGAATAAACATGAGGAGAGTTGGGGCGGGAACTGCATGGGGGTAGCATGAAAAGAGCTGAGGTTTGTGTGTGGGTGTGTGCACATATGTGCGTGTATGTATTATAGGGGGGTATCGGGGGCAATGGGGGAGCCTTTCTTCCCAGCAGGGCTGCATCTCGTTTAATTGGAGCACTTGTGGCACCATTACCTCCTTTACTCAAACACGTTACTGATGACAAAAGAAAACAGCGCTAAGCCTGCTTTTGTCAGCAAAGAGACTGGATGAGGAGATGGATTCCTTGCTGCTACTCATGTGTGGGAATCATCCACACTCCCGCCATGAGCTGGTGCTGCTGCTGCTGCTGCTGCTTCCGCCTTCAACCAGTGAAATGCCACAGACGTGTGGGCAGAAGACAGAGCATGTGTGAATCCAGCCTTCATCAGAAAATGAAGGATAGACGATGCACAAATCAATGCTATATTTAGCAATTATAGACAGACTAGGCATCATCTAACATTTATTGCATGAACAACCCACACTTGTGCATTTTTTTTACCCATCCATTTGGAAAAAATAATATCAATATGGAATATGTATGACTTCACAGAAATTCTCCTAATGAATTCAAAATAATTAACTCCAGCATGTGTGTTCAACCCTGTCAGGGATATTGCCCTTTTGTGACATGAGGTCAAGATCTTATGGCTGATCTAGTTTGTTTTGGTCACCAGAGTGTCCCGGGAGAGCAATAAGAGTGCGACCTTTACCCTGAGTTGCATCGCCACTAAAGAGGAGCCATTGAAGGAGGTACAGTCCCTCTCACATTTAAATTTGTATTTCAAATGCACCGCTTCAAACAAAAATTTACGTGAAAGTGGCTACATTTATTTAATTGCTAAATATATCCAAACTTAATTATTCACATACAGACAAAGCAGGCATAGGACATTGTACACTTTCTTAATAACTTTTAATTTCCAAAATTACATTACGATCAATACAATCAGTGTAGAACGTTTAAGAATACAAATATCAACTTCTGACAAAACCAATTTTCAGATCAGTAATATCAATAAACATATCTGGTAACACATTCCTTCTATAGCCTATTTTACCATTAGCAAATTGTGACAAGCTGGAATCATCCAACAATCAAAAAGGTGTTGACTAATGTCTTTGTTGCTAACTCTAAACGTACTCATAAGAAGAGGCCGCTGCACGAAGGGAAAAAGAACAGCATATTAACTTTATAAAATTCCTCATGTGTGATTGCATATTTACATTTCCATCATTCTTTGTAATGCTTGATAAGAGGGTGGTGATAACACGTTACCAAATGTATTCATTTATTTACTTTAATGTCACAGGATAACTTAGGTCTAAATCAATCAGTATCAAGATTAATACCCGTCTCATTGTAAAAATTCTCCATCAAGATACACACACCAAAAAAAAAAAACCTACTCAAATGCATCTAATGGAAATATCATTTTCAGATTTAACTAATGAGACAATGAAGGAAGCTGACAGAAAGGTTTGTCTAAAAGTTGTGTACTCTTAGATTTTACCTGCAGTTCATTACATCACACAGACCAAAATCATTTAGATTTGGATCAGGAGAAATGTTGAATAGGAGATTCTACAAATGCATCGCAACGTGGTTCAAAGCATAAGACAAAACTTTTCTCTTGAGTAGTTTAGGTCAGCTTTAGAGGTATTATTGCAAGCGACACGAGAATTTACATAAGTCAATTTACCGGTCTCTTTACTTTGAAATGAGGCAAATCAAGGTAATTCCCCCCACTGAATGTTTGACCTACTGTCAGCTGATTTAAATGGAATAATGTGTTCAGCTAGCAGAAGATACATTACTCCTCCAGTAGTTTTTAACTCAAACAAAAAACGAGATTTTGAAATACAATTCAGTCATAACATACTGACAAACATATCACTGTATGAAAAACAGCTGGTGCTGACAAGTGGTCATTAATTGCACGAAATGAACATTTTTGTCCAGTGGGAGAATGATAGGAAACAAGGCAGATGTCCATTAAGATCGAGCCCTGGACTCCGACTCCATGGTGAAATTTGACTCGGCGCTAGAAAACCAAATTTCACAAATTACAAGATCTGGCCTGAAGACATTCATGTGGTCATTACATATTAACTCTACTAAGCAGATTCCAAAAAATAATTACTAGTTGCATTTTTGTTTCTACTATAAACATGACTGTTGTTGCATAACTTCAAGGTCACATTGAAGAGTTAACCATGTGAAGCAGTTCTGTGGAAAACCCCGTTTCAACAGAGAGCACAGGTTAACTTAGCAGCATAGAGCACAGCATCTGCGTTAGCATCTTATGATTAAACCCACACCTAGGGGTGGTAGGAGACGTCTATGTCTCTGAGGTGTCGTGTTATCCGCCACCTCACCTCCTGATTACACTGTATTCAACACCCTGAAAATATATCCCTCACACAATGGCAGGAGTTACATCAAGATGTGTGAATAATCCCAAAACTGTGCTGTGCTGCCATCGAGAGGAGACTGAATGCAGTACAGTCTTGAACAACAAAAGGCAATGACTGCATCATTAGTTTGGTATGAAAACAGCACAAATCCTCGACAGATAAAAGTAGGAGACACTTACATATCTTTGTTTTGCACGTGGTTGTTGTACTGCAGGATTGTTGGGATGCTCTCCTCCTCCTCTGGGACCTGTTGATATTAGAAGACAAACATTGTGATCTCAGGAAGATAACAAGCATATGAACAACTATCGTCAGAATATCTGATTTCACGGTTTCTTATTCAATTTGGGGAAAAGTTAAAGAGTAAATTGGATTTTTGTACCAGAAGAAGAGTGAATGACGGCAGACTATTTGCAAATGTTAACGCTGGGTTGGAGAAACAGCCTCAGAATGAGCAAAACACAACAACAAATGTTTCTACAAGTAGCATTAAACCAAGACTGTAATTTAAAATCTCTTTGTCAATTTATATACACATTGGAGCAAACGTGTGCTTCAAAAATAGGTATGACCATTTAATAAAATTCATCAGGATTTGTTAAATATCTTAAAGATGCCACTCAGGGATACCAATAAAGCTTTTTTCTTTTTGTGCATCCTAAAACTTTCTGTGTGCTGAAATAGCGACTGAATTCTGATTTTACATTGCAAATCCTTACATCCTCATAAATATAAGGATGTTAAGATTTATCTCTCACCTCCCAGTAGGTCTCATCATCAAAGCAGTTGTCATCTGCAGGATCTCCCCAGATAGGTAGCCTTAAGATAGCGCCTAATAGGAAGAGAAAAACTAAGTCATTATCATCACTGTCTGAAAAGCAGTTTCTAGTGTATATATTCTGTCAAACTGATTTCCTTACCAACAATGATGCCTCCACCTATGCCGAAGCACAACGCCACACAGAGGCCCGCTGCCTGGTGACCGCCCTGCGTTGTGGGTACCATGTCTTTGAATTTACCCTCAAAGTCAAAGGTGTTAGCCAGCCTTTTTTTTAAAAAGGGGAGGGGAGCTCAATGAAAAGAATACAGGTATTGCAACTGTTTTTTCCTCTTTAAGCCATTTATTTGAAACGGGAAACACAGCCATAATGTCTAGCTGAATGTTTCCTTTTTGTAGGCAAGGAAAACTCACCCTTCATGGCCATAAACTTCAACAGATGCAGATGCAGCTGTAATGGCTCCCACAATGCCACCTACAACTCCTGGCATAGCGTGGAGGTTGTGGATTCCACACGTGTCCTGGATCTTCAGGTGCTTCTCCATGAATGGCTGAAAGATTTGTCTGATTTTACTACACAAGCATAGTTATAGTAATATCACTTTCTCACTTTAGTAGAGTAAGAGCACTCCTGTCACCCGTTTGCATGCCTGTGGGATGTTATCACAGGGAGACACTAAACAGATAGTTTAGTTTAGTTTATTTATTTATATAGCACTTTTAATTACAACAGTGGTGTTGACCAAAGTGCTGTACAAACATATAAATTACATAATAAAATAACACACAATAAAATAGCAATATCAATCAACATCAATCCCAAATAGCTAATAACAAATAAATAAGTAAATAACTCTCGTGCAGTATTAAAAGCAGGTAAGTAGAAATGTGTTTTAAGATAGGATTTAAAAAGATTGAGGGTAGGAGCCTGTCTAATGTGAAGAGGCAAATCATTCGACAATTTAGACACCACAACTGCAAACGCACGATCACCTCTAAGAACCAGCCTCGACCTTGGTGTGGCCAAGAGCAAAAGATCACCCGATCTAAGAGCTCTAAGGGGCATATAAGGCTGCAGTAGGTCTGACAGATACCGTGGGGCCTGTCCATTCAATGCTTTATAACCAATAAGATTTTATAATTGATTCTAAAACGTACAGGGAGCCAGTGAAGCGTGGTAAGCACAGGGGAGATATGTTCATTCCTCTTCGTCTGTGTCAAAAGACGAGCAGCGGCATTCTGGACCAGCTGGAGCCTTGCAAGACAGGCCGACTAATGCCTACATATAAAGAATTACAACAGTCCAGTTGGGATAGGATGAAAGCATGAATTGCCCGTTCTAGGTTTTTAAAAGACAAAAAAGATCTTGGATAAAAGCCTCAGTTTAAAGAAAGACCGCTGTACAACTAAACTAATCTGTTTCGCAAAAGTGAACTTATTGTCAAATATAACCCCAAAATTTTTAGCATGCAATTTGATAAAAAGTTCCAAACTGTGCAAATTAAAATGTGAGATTCTAGAATTGCAACTTTACAACCAAAAATGATCACAAGACACTGAAATAAAGGTTCTAGTGAAGCAGAACTGTTTCTCTTTAGCTGAAGCTTGATCTGAGTGTCGTCAGCATATGAGTGAAAACTAATATTATAGTTAGTTATGACCACCATATTATGTGGTCATCAGCAGAGACCATGGTGTAAAGTCTGACAGCATTTGGAAGGAAAGCATTAAAAAAAAAATAGCATACCGTGAGAAAGATATATCCAAGTGTGGAAATGATGCCACAGCAGAAACCTACAATAAGACAGCCATAGGGCATCAGCATGAACTCGGCTGCTGTTCCAGCTGCAACGCCTCCAGCAAGTGTGGAGTTCTGGATGTGAACCTGAGAAACAAGTGCAGAAAAATGTGTATCCTGGGTAAATAATCATCTGAAGGGTGCACTTGTTGAAAAATTTGTTTGCAGGATTGTTAAACTCTTTATAGATTTCTTGTTTTGGTTTGTATTCATCTCTTATTGTCATAATCATGTCCATGTGCATAATAGGTTATATCTAATAAGTGTTTGTAACTTGTTACCATGTCTAGTTTCCCATGCTTCTGGAAGAGGCTCGAGATGGCCACAGTGGTGAGAACAGTTGAGGCCAAACAAAGGTAAGTGTTGATGGCGGCTCTGTGCTGCCCATCCCCGTGATCACAGATAGCTGAGTTGAAGCTGGGCCAGAACATCCACAGGAACAGGGTGCCTGTGCCATAGTGATATAAGTCACGAGGAACAGGGAGTTTTGTGAGATTAATTAGATAAAAAAAAAAAAAACTCTTATAAATCAAAAGCAATACTAAACATGACCATGTGCAGTTGTGGGTAGTAAACAAAGCTTACCAATCATTGCAAAGACATCTGAGTGGTAGACAGAGCCCTGCAGACGACTGCTCTGGTGCAAGTTAGGACGATAGAGCATCCATGACACGGAAAGACCATAATAGCCTCCAAATGTGTGAATCACCATGGAGCCTCCAGCATCTCTGGCCTTCAGGAATAAAAGAATAGCATTAGGCCAAAACTATATTTCCTACTCTGCAGTCTGCTATGAGAAGCAGATTCTGAGCAGGTGTGGTCGTGGACTTGAGATGCATGTGTGTGTGTGTGTGTGTGTGTGTGTGTGTGTGTGTGT